TTTCAGATCCTTTGTTTGACATGTTCTCAAAGCATAAGTCAGCAAAGGTAATCTGGGACTTAAGGAAAAGTATGGTGGTGACGATGCAGGAAGAAGGAAATATGCAGTAGGACGATGGCTGCACTTCATGATGACAGATACCAAACCAATTGTTGATCAGGTACATGAGTTTGACTCGTTGCAGACTTGAAGGCAGAAGGAGGTGAAGTCAATGACGTTGTCCTGTGTGATTCACTAGTTGACAAGCTGCCCGAGTCCTGGGTAGACTTTAAGAACAAAATGAAACACGATCGACGCAACTACACCTTGCAACAGCTAATCAGTAGTCTCAACATTGAAGAAGAGAACCGTCTGGTTCACAACACTGTAGCCCCTACAGGTAATTTTAAAGCAAATGTTGTTGAAACTAATGCAGGCTTTAATAAGCCTAAAGCAGGTGAAAACAGTAGAAACCAAAGGAAGAATTCCAAAACCAACAACAACAATAATCGTGTCAAAAGTGGCCAAATTCTGAAAAAAGGGAAAGGTTTTGGGGAATGTTACGTTTGTGGTAAACGTGGCCATCGTGCTGCCCAATGCTACCACCGCAAAGGAAGCACGAGCCAGAACGCTCAAAAGCCATCCACTGAAGGACCTAAAAGCCAAGCTCACATAGTAGAAGATGAAGAAAACTCAGACAAAATTGCAGCAGTAATAACCGAGGCTAACACGGTAGAAGATCCAGACGAGTGGGTCGTAGACACAGGAGCATCACGCCATTTCTGCAATAATAAAAACCTCTTCAAAGAGTTCGAGCCAATCACTGGAGGTGAACAAGTGTTCATGGGAAATTCCCGCGTATCCCAGGTATGTGGTAGAAGAAAAGTAGAAATAATGCTCGGGTCTGGGAAACAATTAATTTTACAAAATGTGCTCTTTGTTCCCACCCTTCGTAGAAACCTGATTTCTGTAGGCCTGCTTAATAAGGCCAGAATTAAATTGGTATTTGAGTTTGACCGAATGGTCATGACCAAACGTGGAACCTTTTTGGGTAAGGGATACTTGCGTGGAGGGTTTTTTGTGCTAGATGTTACAGTAGTTAGAAAGCATTCTGATGTAATTGGTATTGAAAACCACATCCCAGCTTGGCATGTTCAAAACGTTAATAATAATGCCTCTTCTTCTGCTTACATTACTGTTTCTTTAGATATGTGGCATGGTAGGTTAGGACATGTTGGCACAAAATGTTTAAACAGAATGAGAAGCATGAACTTGTTGCCAAATTTGTCTAATGATGCATGTACACAATGTGAAATCTGTGCTGAAGCAAAATTTTCCAGAAAATCGTTTTCAAATGTGAATTCTTGTGTTACATCTGTATTAGAATTAACTAGTATTTTCACCCGTGCGATGCACGGAATGGAATTATTGTAATATATTAAGAATATTTAAATCGATATATAATTATTTAAAAGTTAATTTCACCAGAGGTCGCTTATCTTTCCTGACAATTCCAAATTTAATCCTAGACTATAGTTATTAATTATTACGATTTATTCTATGTTATAATTCTTAAGTTAATATTCTTACTATTATTATTAACACTTAATTACTTTTAGATATTATTATTACCACTTATATTATTATTATTAGATTCTTTTCAAGTTCTGTTAGTATATAATGACCGTGAGGCACAATAGTAATATAACCATAATTAAATATTCTTGTATTGTATTCCATGAGTCACAATAATAATATAACAATAATTACATATTCTTCAATTCTATATTCTTCTAGGATTTCTATTACCATCATTAATTATTTCCTAATTTACCATAATTAAATAATTTGACCAATTATAAAGAAAGATTATTAAATAATGCATGAGACAATTTTTTAATAAAAAATTTTAAAAATTCATTAATAAAATATAATGTTCTCATAGTTTTTTCTTATAAACTATTTAATAAAGCATTTTTTTTTTAGAAATTAGTGGGTCAAACCACCTACGGCAGTTTGCAGTGGATAGATCTCGAAAAAATACGCAATTTCAAAAAATATTTGTCCAAAAAGGACAACCGAGTCAAAAGTTATGTCGTGCCGAAGTTTTGACACATTACAACTTAAAAAAAAAAAAAAATTAATCACCGGTTCACCCGGAGAGGTGGCCACGGAAGAGGCCGATTCCCACCTTCATCGCCGCGGCCAGCAACGCGATTTTTGCAACACTGATATATAGTATAGATATAGATTAGAATAGGAATAGTTTGCAGAATTATTGTACGAATGAGAAAGTAGAAATCAATATATTTTATTAGGAAGAGAGATTTTTTAGGAATTGGGCGGGAAGTTAAAATTTCAGGATTTTGTTATTATATATAGTATAGATTGATTTATTACAATATGAATTGTATTGCACTATTTTATAATATTAGAATAGAATTTTAACGCAGAATTATTGTACGAATGGGAAAGTAGAAATCAATATATTTTATTAGGAAGAGAGATTTTTTAGGAATTGGGCGGGAAGTTAAAATTTCAGGATTTTGTTATTATATATAGTATAGATTGATTGATTACAATAGGAATTGTATTATACTATTTTATAATATTAGAATAGAATTTTAACGCAGAATTATTGTACGAATGAGAAAGTAGAAATCAATATATTTTATTAGGAAGAGAGATTTTTTAGGAATTGGGCGGGAAGTTAAAATTTCAGGATTTTGTTATTATATATAGTATAGATTGATTGATTACAATAGGAATTGTATTACACTATTTTATAATATTAGAATAGAATTTTAACGCAGAATTATTGTACGAATGGGAAAGTAGAAATCAATATATTTTATTAGGAAGAGAGATTTTTTAGGAATTGGGCGGGAAGTTAAAATTTCAGGATTTTGTTATTATATATAGTATAGATTCACACCGATTTAGCTGACTTCAAAACTACTGAAAGTCGAGGTGGAAAACGGTATTATATTACATTCATTGATGATTTCTCCCGATTCTCAAAAGTGTATTTACTATTTACTATGAACAAAAGATGAAGACGAAGGAAAATTTATAGTCTTTAAAATTGAAGTAGAAAATCAGTTAGACAAGAAAATTAAACGGCTCCGCTCCGATAGAGGGGGAGAATATGAATCCAATTCTTTGAGATCTCTGTGTGAATCCTCGGGCATTATTCATGAAATAACTGCCCCTTATACCCCGCAACAGAATGACATTGCCGAAAGGAAAAATAGAACACTCAAAGAAATGATCAACGCAATGTTAATCAGTTCTGGTGCACCAGACTCCTTGTGGGGAGAAGCTGTTCTAACAGCAAACCATATCCTAAATAGGGTCCCGCACAAAGGGTTTGAAAAAACCCCTTATGAACTTTGGAAAGGTCACGCTCCAAATCTCAAATACCTAAAGGTATGGGGCTGTTTGGCCAAAGTAGGATTACCATCCTTCAAAAGGCCAAACTTGGGACCTAAAACTTTAGATGCCGTTTTTGTAGGTATGCCGAAAATAGCGCAGCATACAGATTTATGTGTTTGGAAAATCGTGCTATGTGTGAATCTAGAGATGCCATATTCTTTGAAAACATATTTCCGTTAAAGAATGCTAATGATTCACCTGTTGTTAGAATTCAAGATACACATAATATCTTTCCCAGCTTTCCAACCAACTCTCAGGAGCCAAGGAGAAGCAAAAGGCCTAGAGTTGAGAAAAGCTTTGGCTCTGACTTCTTAACATATGTAACTGAGTTGAAAGATCTAAATGAACTTTGCGATCAGCTCATATGTCAATTAGTCCTAGAAGAAGAGCCCAAGAGCTTCGAAGAAGCAATGCACTCAGTAGATTCCACATTGTGGAAAAAAGCAGTTAAAAGTGAGCTAGACTCCATTCAGTCTAACCACACTTGGGAACTGGTCAATAGACCTAAGGGCTGTAAACCAATTGGCTGTAAATGGATTTTCAAAAGAAATTTGAGACCAGACGGCTTAATCGAACGGTTCAAGGCCAGACTAGTAGCCAAAGGCTACACACAAAAATTCGGTGAGGACTATTGCTATACATACTCACCAGTAACAAAAATAGCAACCATTTGTGTTCTATTTGCTCTGGTTTCTTCTCACAGGTTGATAGTTCATCAAATGGATGTAAAGACAACCTTTTTAAATGGTGAACTAGAAGAAGAAATCTACATGGAACAACCTCCTGGCTGTGTTGATCCAGGACAGGAAGGGAAAGTGTGCAGACTTAAGAAGTCTCTTTACGACTTAAAACAAGCCCCTAAACAGTGGTATGAAAAATTTCATAAAACGTTGCTACATTTGGGTTATTCTACTAATAGATCAGATGCATGCTTATACTCAAAAGAGATAGAGTCAAGCATTGTGATAATATGTCTATATGTAGATGACATGCTGATCTTTAGCTCAAATCTTGAGGCTATAAATGAGAATAAAAGAACTCTTTCTAACAAGTTTGAAATGAAGGACTTAGGGGAAGCCGATGTAATTCTGGGAATAAAAGTTACAAAGACTGGTAATGGCTATTTGCTATCACAAAGCCATTATACAGAGAAACTTCTGAAGAAGTTTGACAATTATGAAGTAACTCCGCCTAAAACTCCCTTTGATCCAAGTGTCAAACTGTCGAAAAATCTAGAGAATAATGTGTCTCAAGATGAGTACGCAAAAATAATTGGGAGTCTAATGTTTTTAATGAATTACACTAGACCTGATATTGCGTTTGCAGTAAACAAACTGAGTCGCTATACTCACAACCCTAGCACTCCGCATTGGGATGCATTGAGAAGAGTATTGCGATACCTAAGAGGCACAGTGGACTGGGGTCTTAATTACAAAGGACATCCAGCAGTGCTAGAAGGGTTCTGTGATACAAATTAGGTAAATGACAGTGAGGATGTAAGCTCAACTAGTGGATATGTTTTCACTATGTGTGGAGCAGCCATCTCATGGAAATCAACCAAACAATCATGCATTGCTAGGTCAACTATGGAAGCCAAATTCATAGCTCTGGACCTGGCAAGCCAAGAAGCCGAGTGGCTGAGAAACCTACTGGCAGACGTGACATTGTGGGGGTGTCCAGCACCGGCTGTTCCTATGCATTGTGGTTCACAAACTGCCATTTGTGTTGCACAAAATAGTGTCTATAATGGGAAAAGAAGACACATAAGAGTCAAACATGAGTCTGTAAGGCAGCTAATATTAAATGGTGTAATCACAATGGAATTTGTGAGATCTGAAAGGAATATTGCAGATCCTTTCACAAAAGGCTTAAAAAGAAAAGCCATCCTTGATACTTCAAGGGAGATGGATCTGAAACCCAATGAGGTAAGCAATTTGTGATGAACCACTTTGGTGGCCAAATAAAGTCACAGAAAAAACTTACTACAAGAAAAACTGAAAAAACAATACGTACTCTGTATCCTGTTATGGGTGGTCTATATCGAGATAGACTTGACAGAGTTGAGGTCTAGGTTGAGCTAGACCGTACAGGGACTCTTTAAGAGTTAATAAGTGCATATAAGTTCAAAACTCAGTAAACCGACGAGTTCAAGATTCAATTCACTCTCGGGCGACAAGTTACTTAAATGTCACTTCATGGCAGTTCAAGTTTCATACACTGACATGGAAATTAGCTCTTGAGCTGGCTCAGGTAATCTTGGGTATAGCTTTGCCCCATGAAATGTGTGGGGGATTGTTGGGAACATTAATGAGGCAAAGGCATAAGAAAGTGTCTTTACCAAGTATCCCACATTGGAAAGCTAGCCTATCTTTTCTCACCTTTTAAACACTAACTCCTTTTACAAGGCTTGAAGTGTTATGGAGGGAAATAGAGGGAAACCACGCGTGCGCTGCCGTCGCCGCCCGCTCGGCTCGGTTCGCACGCGCGGTGTGGTGGGGTCAAAGTTTTGCACCCCTCTATACTTTTTAACCCCTATTTTCGTGGGATAAATGGTCACCTTGTCCGCTCTTCTTTCTATTCTTCAGAATGTGAGCGCACAAAGCGTTGGCCTTGTCCACACTCCACTCTTTTTTGCTTTGTCTCTATGGCTGAGAGGGGCTGGGCGGTTATAGCTTCCAGTATATAGACCGCCCTTCCCTATCATTGAAAAACACACTTTTCCGAAACAGAAAACACCCCTGAGCTTTGTTGTTCTGTGCTAACCTGTCGAAAACTTGCGATTCCCTGGTTGTAAAGGTTTTTAAGGTAGTGTAACAACACGACACAGATACCTACATTCCCACACGATACATCCATATTAAACGTATTGCTACGTACAAACATTGTTGTTTTCGTACAAAAATCCAACAAGAACCTTTCCGTGGTTAAGCCCCCGACTCGGGCACGGAAACGTTAACATCACCCTAAGGGGGCACGAGGCCCGACCTCATTTACCACTCGATGGAGAGGTTTTGGACCGAAAGTACCCTTGGCTAAATAACTACACACTACGTAAAAAAAATAAAAAATAAAAAAAAATCATGCGAACAAAAATCTAATAAGCGATCCCGCATCGTAGGGAAAGCCCGCTCTCGAACGCAGAGGACTCGGATCACAAAGCTAAAAGCTTAAAAGGTGTTGGAATAAGCGAAATATTTTTTCAAGTTGACTTTGAAGCATTCATCCAAACATGGAGCCCCGAGCAGTTTCAATCGCGCCAAACGTTTACTCTCTCTTGTTGTCGACTTCTCGCAACTCAGAGAGTGGGCGACTGATAATGGATATATTAGAAATGGTCCAATAATAATAGGGACCCGGGGTCTGGGAATGTATAACCCGAGCAGCCCAAGAAGAGTCTTGAGCTCGGAGCCTGTCTCCGGACCCAGCATGATGGACTTTGACTTAGTCTCGTGGCCCACCGTATGGACCTGAGTTAATCTCCTGGCCCACCACGAATTTAGCACTAGTTGGTTGGGATTTCTTTTGTATAAATAGCTTATACTTAAGTTAGACAAGACATGTTCAATTATTTTATTACAATCCACTTGTAATATCCTACATCAATAGAAGGAAATATTATTACAATTATATTGTTCTTCTATTTTACTACTTTTATATTATATGCGAGATTATTAACCCGTATAATTATATACCGGGGGTCTATTTTCTCCATCACTAGCAAACACTTCACTAGCGTTGAGTTATCATACAACAACTTTGTAGGTTCCGTTCGTGATGTATTTGGAGAAATGAAATTTATTGAGGGGATTAATTTTAATGAATTTTTTTTTAGAAATGGATTTCGAAATCCTTTGGGAATGTAACTTATTGCGAGTTATCTCTTTGGGTGATACTCAAGAACTCGAGCATCCCGAGCTACACGATCATAAATACATGGGTGTAGGCCCGAAGAGTCGTATTTATTTTTTCGTATTTTACATACATGATTAATGAATTCTGCAATGGTAGCTATTTTTGAAATTTCTTCATTTTCTAGATTTAAAAGATTGATTCCAACAATGTTGTAGCCTCAACATCATTTCAATGCGTCAAGTGTGTCACAATGGTCTATTGATATACATTGACATTTTTAATAATGAGTTTTAAATATAGCTACGTAAGATAATGATCTAATTACCATTTACATATTATTATCAGCATAAAAGCATACCAGTCATGTAGGTGTTCTGCTTGAGGTACTTTTGGTTCAACCATTATGGTTGAATGAATTCTTGTGGATAGAGAAATTCCTAGTTTATTTAAGGAATAAGATTAGATAAGGTAGTAAAAATTTATACGTTTTAAATCATATTAATAAAGAAATACAATTTACATTTAAAGTGAACAACTGTGATCTAGTCCAAAGATATTATGTGGTAGTTTCCCGCTTCAATTTATTAGGTTATTTGAATGTCTTCTTTGTCAACAAATATTCCCCAAGTAGTTAAAGAAGACAATGAACAGTGTAGTGAATATAATTAATTAATGAATTTGAAGGTAAGGAATCTTTGCATTGTAGAAAATAAAGACAATATAACTAATGAAATTATACCTCTTTTAAATTTTTTTTGAAAATGAATAATTTTTTTTTGAATAAAGACATTGTAGACATCGAATTCTAAATTAAAGAAATGCATATGTATCATTTTTTTTGTTGTAGCTACTAATTTATTTAATTGAATAAGAGTAATAGAGTGTGGTACTTACTTTTCAATAATATACTCTAACATATTCGTAGTATATGTTCAACAATTATGCTAACTTTGATTGAGATGAGTTCGAAGCTAAGACCTTTCTTATAGAAATTAATGGGTAAGTAAAAAGATAAATACTAAAATCAAAATAATATGAATCATTCATTTTATCAAATAATTTGACAGACATTTTTTAGTTCCCGTTATAGACCTAACTTTATTGGCTCTTATTAGTATATAATATAATATATGATATGATAAGTACAATTTATATCTTTAATTTAGATTAGATTTTATAATAAATTAGTTTTATTTATTTTACATTATATTTATTTTGTGTTTTATTTTATATTTTTGTAATAATATAATAATTATTTGAATAATTAAGTTTAAATATTATTTTGGGCCTTTGGGAATATATATCATAGATGGGTTAGGTGGATTAAAATGGGCTCTTTACTAAGTTAACTTAATTTGATCCATTGTAGTTTATTTATTTATTTTATTGATTAAAGCCCAAGATCAAATTAAACAATCATTTTTATAATTTTATGTTAGTTTTCCTTTGAAGCGCAGCTCTGTATGTGAGATTGTCGTAAGGACCGCAGCAGCAGAAAGAAATCAAAACGGCGACTCGGTAGACTTCTGCGATGAAGACGAATTATCGCGAGGTAGACTCAGTCGACTACAGAGAAGGTTGTGACTTCTACGGTCAAGATTTCGTCTGCGCACTCCGTTCGTGTGAACTGCTTGAAGGATGTGGTTTCGGCGACTCCGTAGGCTGCTGCGCTGAAGATTTCGTCCGCAATTTTACCGAGTGAAGCAGAGGTTGGAGCTTGTTCTACTGATTTTCTATGGTTTCTTAGCATTTAGGAAAATAAAAATTATTTATTTTATAAATTTTGTGTGGTTGAAGAAATTGATTTTATTTGTGGATGTTAGGAAATTAGGGCTATTTTTGGAAGCCTGAACTAGTATAAATAGGACTGGATTTTGTTCAGTAGAAGGAAGTCAGTTTTGATAGAACAATTTTATTTACACTGTAAACACTTCTGCAATGTACTGCTGAGTTCGAATTTTCCAACTCAAGGATTATTGAAGTTTGATTCTACAAGACCAGTGAGATTTATTTAGCTTAATTTTATTCTTGCACTTTATTATTTATATATCTCCTGTTATATGAGTTTTAATTATTGCTTGATTAATTGTTGCAACGGGCCCATTATTTAATTGTCAAGTCATTAAGTTGCTAATTAGAACCTTGAATCCGTAATTGTTTAAGTGTTCTAAAGCTAATAGCAAATATCACAATTTGATTATGTATAGATTTTTGGTTTGTGTTATGAAGATATATAATCTAGCTTAAATGAACCATGCTTTTGAGTTTGTTGGCTAGAATTGGTAATCTTTCTAATTCTTTAATGCTGTTAGTAAATTAAATCCTAAGAGCATGTTTAGGATTGTTTATTAGCTAAGGAAGTAATCAAAGAGCTTGTTTTGATTATCGACAAAGTAAGGAAAGATAGGTTATTAGAGCTTGTTAATAACCATAACCAATTTGGTAAAGAGTAGAGCAATTTATTTTTGGAAATCAATGATCTGTCTTGTTAGAATTAAATTGATATTATGCCTTGAGTTGGATACTAGTTGCTATTGATTATTATTATTATTTGACATTTCATATTGTTTGCCTTTTTATGATTGCTATTTAATTTCCAATTCTCATCTCTTTCTTTATTAAATCTTTGATTAAAAATAAGTCAAACCAATCTTTGTGGGTACGACCTTACTCATCACTATCGCAAATTATAGAACAAGTAATTTATTATTTGTTGGTTTCGACACCCATCAAAATATATATATATATATATATATATATATATATATATATATATATATATATATATATATAATATACACCACACTTTTTCAATAATATACTCTAACATATTCGTAGTATATGTTCAACAATTATGCTAACTATGATTGAGATGAGTTCGAAGCTAAGACCTTTCTTATAGAAATTAATGGTTAAGTTAAAAGATAAATACTAAAATCAAAATAATATGAATCATTCATTTTATCAAATAATTTGACAGACATTTTTTAGTTCTCGTTATAGGCCTAACTTTATTGGCTCTTATTAGTATATAAATATAATATAATATATATATATATATATATATATATATATATATATATATATATATATATATATATATATATATATATATATATATATATATATAGAGTGTATTCAAATGAGGACAAGTATATTATAGAGGACTGTGAGGACAAATTAGTGTGTGCCATTAGCCGGTATGTCATGTGCATGGCCGAATGTAGTCGTGTGCCACAGTTTGTATGTCGCGTGCTAGATTTGTTAATTTATAGAGCCTGGGTTCGAAACCTGATGTTTACATTTATTCTTGTGTGCCATTATTTATTAAGTTGTGTGCCTGGTATTAATTTGTTGTGTGCCCATTATTTATCCTCACAGTCCTCTATATATTGTTGTCCTCATTTGAACTCAACCCTATATATATATATATATATATATATATATATATATATATATATATATATATAGGGTTCCAATGAGAACACTTGCTTAAGTGAGAACGTGAGAACAAATCGTGTGCATCCATCTAATTGTTTGCACACATTTAATTCGCGTTCGCACACACTTAATCTAATCTAGACCATTAAATAATTTTAGATGGATGCACACGAAATCTAGACCATTAAAAAATTTTAGATGGATGCACACGATTTTTCTCACGTTCTCACTTAAGCAAGTGTTCTCATATGATCCTATATATATATATATATATATATATATATATATATATATATATATATATATATCTTCTACTATAATAAAGCAGAACCTTTTGGTAAATAAAATTCAATAAATAATTCCCGCCCAAACAAAACGGTGCGTTTTGGGCAAGTGGTGGGTAAAACTGTTCTGATCAAATATATAATGAATACGCCGTTTCGAATTTCAATCAGATGGAACTTAATACACATAATTGTGGCTTTTCGATGGAACTGATCACCATTTACCAATGTAGAATTTATTGGATACTGTACTCAAATGATATAAAATAATAAATAATACAATATAAATAATAAATATATATATTGTAGAAATCAATCGACTGTGATTAATTATAAGATTAAAGATTAATAATTAATAATAAAAAAATTAAAAGATAAAGGAACCGAATAGGTACATTGGCACCCGGCCGGACAGTTCACTCTCCAATAACAATTAATATCTAACAATTATTAATTTAGCTATAAATAGTTCAAACATTTGAAATCCTGAAATGAAAGGTACTCCCAAAATCCTCAAAATTGTTTTCAAAATACCCCATCTCAATACATCCTTGCAAGTCAGTTTAGCCTCTCCATACAAAGAGAATAATTTGATTTGGCTGGCCAAAATCTACGAATTTCCTGAGATGCCTGGAGGCACAACAAGCAAAAGCAAATAATGCCTCTTTCATGAGAAAGAGGTAATGTTAGTATCAAATTTTCTGTAATATTTTTCTGAATCCTTATTATCAGTAACATTGTTTTCATTATTGCTATTGTTTTCATTATGTTCTGTTCAAAGTGTGAAAGAAAATGGCAAAAGGTACAATCAAATATAGGTTAATTGTCAGGATGCTTAATAAAACTGGTGATGCTACCTTCCTATTGTGAGACAGGGAGATCTCAGAATTTGTTGCCATGTCAGTAACTAATGTGCTGTCAAATTACAAACAGGTAAGAAATTTGTTTTCCTATTTTGACAGCTAGAGCTCTACATTTAATGAGAGTGTTAACTGATGAAAGATTGTTTCTACCTATTGTTCTGCCTTGGATGAGTATCATTAAAGAGACCTTTTGTTAAAAATGATCGATGAAGATGGAGAGGATGACTCAGAAATATTAAAACTAAAATTCTACAATTATGTACTTCTATATTATTTTTAGCTTTATTTGATATTATAACTATTTTTTAAAATGTTTTCTACAACTTTTAGGAATCATCACAAGGTGATGAAGTTAACCGTCTAAACAATGGATTTCAAGAAAGGACAACAGGGACAACATGATTGTAGTACACAGAACTTGAAGAAAGGAAAGATAGTGTGCATCTCGAACTGTTTTCTTATGCACAGAACTTGAAAAAAGGAATGATTGTGTGCATCAAGAAGGAGAAATTGCAACAGTGTCAATTGACTATGTCATGTTTTGTTGTTGGTATTCCTTACTAGACTTTTGGTTTTAATCCTACTAGATAGTGGCAACTTTTATTTGTTAAGTACATGAACTTATTATCCCTGCAAGCATTCCATGAATTAATGCATTGTAGGCAAAATTGAACTATTTTTGGGAATTATCATTTGCTATATCCTATGTTAATTACTGTTTATTTCTTTGTATGCCGTTTTCTGTGTTCTTACACAAAGAAACAGTTAGTTCAAGCAACACAATGCAACGTGGATAACCACAAGTGATAAGAACTGACGAGCAGAAGTCAACAAAATTTTGAGCATTATTACCATTTAACCACAAGTGGTAATAATTCACTGTTATAAAAAATTTTCAAACATTTCAAACATATATATGTCCTACGTATGTATGTAGAAATATATTGATTTATATGTGCGTAGAGTTGCATGTAAAAATCGACAAACTAGAAGTTTTTTAGGGGTACAAAAAAGATAGATCTATACATTAGATTAGTGAAAAAACCTTATAATTACAAGTATACAGTTTAGCAGAAAACCCTAGCTCTATAATTTTGCCTATTTTTCGATATGAACTCAAGTTGTACAACTGATTGGAATATCTGAAATAGCAAACCCTAAATCGACAGAAAATTATTGTATAACCAACAGAAAATAGGGAAAGATGGTAAAGAAGGTATCTACCTTGGCCGGAGACAACTGATGTACAAAATATGCCACCGGTAGCAAAAAAAATCACTTCGATATCTGGAAATTAAGGAAAAATATTCCACGGGTAGGGAAAGTGATAGACAGATGAACTATGTAACTTAAAATCCGTGGATGTCTCCTCGACAGTGGCGGTTTCATTGAAACGCCACATCACCAGAATTTTTTTTTGGTTTTGGTTGATATCGGGCAGGTTTAGAGAAGGACGTTTGCGATGCAGACGGAGGAAGATGAACCGTCCGCATAGTATGTTGGTGTTTGTTTAAGGTGATTTTTAGTTGTAGAATTGGGCTCGGGTTTTGGGCTTATAATTATGGGAATGAAATGGTAGGGTTATATAATTGAATTTCAGCCCAGCATTCCAGTTTGTTCATTTCGGCCAAAACTTATTTTAATTCATTTCGGCCCTACTTCTTAAAAACTCCCAGGTCGAATAGTGAAACCAAAGTTTTCTTAAAAACCATCTTCCTAGACAGAATATTCAAGAACGATGACTTTTCCATGCTACCACCATAAATGTGAGTAAAGCCTTTGAAATTAAACTCAGTGCACAATTTAAATATTTAAGATTATGTGACTGTAATATAGTATGTATCTCATCAAATAGTGCAATGTTTGTAACATATCCACAATAATAACACATAATGTTGTAAATTGACATGTGCATAAGTACACAATTTATAAGCTTTATATCATATTGATGATTTAATCACTTAGTAGTAGTACTAAATCAACACCTCTAACACAACAAATTCATAAAGCTAATACATGTGAATAATAACAATTCACTTATCTTTGCGTACACCGTTGTTAATTTTCTCTATAATATTCAAAGCACTCACCATACAAAATATGGAATGGTGATTTCTAAAATGCTTGTCACAATATATATTTCACGTTTCACATGCTCTCAAAAGATAATAATCAATTGGATGCAAAGATATAGGCAAACCATCTTCTAAATTATGTCATTATGATAATTTTAAGGGACATGGTCAATGCCAATAATATATGACTACTAATGCTCAAGACAATCATTTGCATATGATAGTCTATTATCATATATGTATGCATGTGCCATATTAAAATATGAGGAGGCAAACCTCATTGGCAAAACTGAGCTACTATGCAAAGAGTATACATGAATGATGACTCTTCAATTCCATGCTACAAACAAATTGCAACCAAAGACTTTGATATATACTTATTATATCTTTATACAAATAATTTCAGTACATGATTCAAATTTTTAAAACCATGTGATAAAGATATATAATTATATAAGCATCTCATATTCAATTTGAAGGAACAAATAGCCCTCACTAATAAATTAATCATGCATCACTTAAATTTATGTTCCCCAGTTATCCAACACATAATCAGTTTTTGATCTCATTTTGTGAAGAACATCATATATAACATTTTCGAACAACTCTAAATCGAAGAAACACATGCCTACACATAGACATAACAATATGCATGAGATATTGATCATCAAGATTAACCATTTATATCTTGGATGTTAAGAGTGAGAGAACATATTTAAGTAATATAATGATCTTGCTATTTCAATTCTTCAAGACCAATATGCTATAAAGGATAATTATGTGATATATCATCATCGATCATAACTATATCTGCTTGCACTTTAAATTCAAGAGCACAAAATTTAATAATGACTAAGTCATAATATATACAGAATATTAATAATTTTGTGTGCTGAAAAGCATGTAGCTAATTATCTCTTAGTTATGTCAATCCTCATGTTGTGCACACTGAAGAGAACAAACCAAAAGATGAAATATAAGGTGGTGATGATGTATAAAAGCATTTCTAACACCCATTAAATGAATTATCACGTACACATGTATTAAAGAAATAATACTTAGCTCAGAGTTCGACATACTGAAGTGGATCATCTTCTTAATCGCCCACCGGCGGTAGTTCAGACCGGTGAGAGGTTCGAGCTTGGCAAGGTCAAAGGAAGGCTTGGTTGCCATTGACGACATTTTCACAAGAATAATTTGCTTTTAACTGTTGGGTTTTTGTACCGGAAAATGTCGCAGAAGCACTGCTTTTTATATTGGTTGATTAGGGAAAAAGTAAGGGAATCCTGTGTCGTGTAAATACACTACCTTAAAAGCAAATTTCCGGTATAACCGGGTGCTTTCAATTGGTTGCACACAGACTTTCTACGAGATACCGGCACAGGTATTCGCAGTCACAGTGGAACCCGACTTAGAGCTCAGACAGAAGGCTCAGAGAGAATAGAAGAAGAGAAGAATGAATTGTGTGTTTTTAATGAACAAGGGAAATGCCCTTATATACTAACACAGGCTTCACTTCTCAGCCATCCAAATCCAAAAACAGTGCTGGACCACTCTGACAGGATAATGGGGCTGGCACCCGACCCGGATCATCAACAGGTACTTGACCCGGTACCCAGTGGAAACCCAACGGACAAAAGTCTAACGGGCAGAATACCAACGGGTAACTCCACTACCACTTATTGCTACCATTGAAGCCACCATTGACGAGAGAGAATTAAAGGCCTCAGCTCCTCATTTATGACCCACTATGTTACCGTTAGGGCTTAATATAAATAGAAGCTCTCCTCAGCTTGAGGGGACACATTCTGATTCTTGTACTAAAATACTTAGCAATACAACTATTGTTACTGATTTACACAAAATAATATTATCCAGTAACATATTTACCGTCATTGGTGCTTTCATTGAGAGCCTGAGTCCAACACTCAAGCAGGCGACTATACACACAACATATTCTCTCTTTCAACAGCAAGCTTGAAAGAATGGTGTCCGGCAGCTCCCATGGTTCCCGCAACTTGAACAACGGCAATGCCTCAGGGGACCTCCGAGACCAACTCACCAACAATCGTGGAGGGAACCTCTGAGAGCAGCTCAACAACGGGAGGCCCGGGGACTTTCGAGAACAAATCAATAATGGAGGAACAAACCAAGCCGTGAACCTCCAGGCGACCGCCGAAGCCATCCGGCAAGCGGCGACAGCACTAACTCATGCAGCGGCGGGACTGCAAGGCCAAGTGCCCCCGTCGCGGCCCCAGGAAATAGAGGTAGAGTCCCCACAAAGGGTAGAATGTCAGCAACAACAGGACACAACCCGTGCGGCGAGGGACGCAGGACGTCATACCAGGACGGGGGTCCAGAGGAGGGGACCCAGAGAAGTGGACCGGCCAGACAGCGACCAGGACCCTCCCACTCTGCCCTTGAACGATTGGGACACAGGGCGCCCGTGCGGCAAAGATTGGGATCACGGGCCGAGGGGTCCTCTACCAGAGGCCCTCGCCGACACGAAAGCAGACCAACACAGAAATCACTCACTGAGAAAATGGGCGAATCGGATGAGCCGGCCGAGCGCCGGCACTTTGATGAGCTAGCCCCGTGTCGGCATTTGGATGAGTCGGCCGCGCGGCGGCACTTTGATGGGTTGGCCGCGCGCTGGCACTTGGGTGAGTCGGCCGCGCGCCGACACTTTGATGCGCGCTGCCAATTGGATGAGCCGGCCGTGTGCCGGCACTTTGATAAGTCGGCCGCGCGTCGGCACTTGGATGAGTCGGCCGCGCGCCGACACTTTGATGCGCGCTGGCCCCGCGCTACCAATTGGATGAGCCGGCCGCGCGCCGGCACTTTGATGATCCGACCCCGTGCCGGCACTTGGATGAGCCGGTCGCGCGCTGGCACTTTGATGAGCCGGCCACGCCAACACTTGGATGAGCGGCACATCGATGAGCCGGCTCCACGCCGACACTTGGATGAGCGGCACGTCGATGAGCCGGCTCCACGCCGACACTTGGAGGAGCGGCACGCCGACACTTGGATGAGCAGCGCGTCGATGAGCCGGCTCCACGCCGATACTCGGATGAGCGACACGTCGATGAGCCGGCTCCATGCCGACACATGGATGAGTCGGATCCGCGTCGTCGTTTTGGTGAACTGGCCCTGCACCGGCACCCTGACGAGTCGGCCCTGGTCGAGAGGCTACAAAGAAGAATTGAAGAGTTAGCGAAGAAGGTGGAGGCACGGGAGCAATTGCCGGAACCCGAGGTACGGATGGTAGCGCCATTTTCCCCAAGAATAATGGATGTGCCTCTGTCGAGAGACTTTAGGATGCCCGCCATAAAAGCATACACGGGGACCACCGACCCACGTGTCCACATGACGAGATATAAGGCTGCTATGGTAATGATTGGGGCGGGGGATGCCGTCATGTGCCGAGCATTCTTGTCCACCTTAGATGGAGCGGCCCAAGACCGGTTCAACACCATCCTAGATGGGTCGATCCAAAATTTTGGAGAGCTATCCAAGAGCTTCCTGACATACTTCTCCAGCAACATACAATGTAAGAAACCCTTCTCTCACCTCTGCGTAGTAAAGCAAGACAGAGGCGAGAGCCTCGAGGATTTCCTAAACAAATGGAAAAAAGAAGTCAATAATGTCTACGACTTTGACTCCAAGGCGGCGATCCCGGTATTTATCCATGCCCTAAGGTCAGGGTATTTTCACAAGCAGCTGAACGCTCATCAACCCCGCTCTTACGAAGATTTGATGAGGACAGCCAACCGTTATGCAGAAGCAGAGGACGTTGATAGGAAGAAGAGGGATGAAGAAGATGGTAGAAAAAGTTGGAAGCCCGAGAAAGCTAGTCCGCCCAGCCAGGCACCACGTGCAAACCACTCGTCCGCAGGGAAAGACCGAAACCACGAGCGACCTCGCCTGGTCCCCCTACGTAATTTGACCCCGCTTACCCATCTTGTCAGTATCATTGTAAAGCAAGCTGAGGAGATGGGAATAGTAGAATTCCCGGAGGAGTGCATGAAGGTCTCCCCAAAGGCAGACCAAACAAAGTACTGCAAGTTTCATAGGCAAGCTGGTCACGATGCGGATGAGCGTCACGTTTTGAAGAGACAGATAGAGGAGCTCATTTAAAGGGGATACTTCACTCAATTTGTGAAGCATCCAGGGCAACAACAACAGCATCGTCAACCCATGAACAAAACATGTGGCGAAAGGGAAAGGGCCCTAAGTCATCCTCCTCAGACACAAAGAGGGGGTACAATCAGATCATGGAAGAAGGAGACAAGGAACTAGAGGGGGAGCCCGTGCAGCGCAAAAAACATGTTATTCGCTAAAACACGACAAGATCAATAATATAATTATTGATGTAACTATTGTTCATGGTCTGCCCTGATCAATTGTGTTGAATAAAAAAATTCCATGGAGCCCTTGTGTTAGTAAAGTAGGAGGTATGTTCTCATCCACCATAACCATGACAGGAAACAAATAAGGGAGGCCACGCGCCTCGACCTCTACCATGGTCCTCGGCCTTGGTAGCGGAGGCGGTGTATTAATTACCGCACTCTATTCCCTAAGGGCCAGCATGGGATCCGATCCCACTAGCTACCCGACGGAAGGGCGCTTTCTTGGCCAAGCTCATAGTTTGGTTACGAAAACGATATTCCCTAAGGGTAGTACGAGGTATGACCTCGCTCACAACTCTACGGAAGCGCCGACCTTCGACCGAGCCTGCGGCCTATCGAAGTAAGCTATGAACAAACACGCAAAAAATAAACTAAAATAAAATAAAATAAAAAATGAGGCCAAGGCACACGCCTCGATCGACATCAGCTGAGGCGCCCGCCTCAGTCATCATCGGTCGAGGCGCACGCCTCGGCCGAGGCGCCCGCCTCGGCCATCATCGGTCGAGGTGCCCGCCTCGGTCAACATCGACCGAGGCCCCTCGCCTCGGCAAGCATCGGCCAGCAACATCGGCTGAGGTCCCGCGCCTCGGCTAGCATCGGCCGAGGCCTCGCGCCTCTACGAGCATCGACCAGCATCGGCCGAGGCCCCGCGCCTCGGCCATCATCAGCCGAATCCCGCCTCGGCCGACCTCCAGGACTGGCGCACGCCTTGGCTAACATCGGCCGAGGCGCACGCCTCGGCCAGCATCGGCCGAGGTGCCCGCCTCGGCCATCATCGGTCGAGGCGTCCGCCTCAGCCAACATCGGCCGAGGCGCATGCCTTGGCCCACATCGACCAGGCGCACGCCTCTGCCATCATCGGCCGAGGCCCCGCGCCTCGGCCAGCATCAGCCATCATCGGTTGAGGCGCCCGCCTCGGCCAACATCGACCGAGGCGCACGCCTCTGCCATCATCAGTCGAGGCGCACGCCTCGGCCAGCATCGGTCGAGGCCCCGCGCCTTGGCTAGCATCGGCCGAGACCCCGCGCCTCGGCTAGCATCGGCCATCATCGGCCGAGGCCCCACGCCTCGGCCAGCATCGGCCGAGGCCCCACGCCTCGGCCAGCATCGGTCGAGGCCCCGCACCTCGGCCAGCATCGGCCGAATCCCGCCTCGGCCGACCTCCGAGATTTTGGTTAAAAAATGATGAGGATCTTTGATTTAGTCTCACTCCCCAGCTAACTCAAGCACATCTGTAGACTCGGGAGTAGGGGGACTGGTGACAGGATAATGGGGCAGGCACCCGACCCGGATCATCAACAGGTACTTGACTCGGCTCCCAATGGAAACCCAACGGACAGAAGTCTAACGGGCATAATACCAACGGGTAACTCCACTACCACTTATTGCTACCATTGAAGTCACCATTGATGCCACCATTGAAGCCACCATTGATGAGAGAGAATTAAAGGTTCAGCTCCTCATTTATGACCCACCATGTTACCGTTAGGGCTTAATATAAATAGAAGCTCCCCTCAGCTTGAGGGGACACATTCTGATTCTTGTACTAAAGTACATAGCGATAGAACTATTGTTACTGATTTACACAAAATAATATTATTCGGTAACATATTTACCATCACACTCATTCTTAACGAATGAGATTCACTCATTTGAGTGAAAAGTCAACAACCACCCAAAAACAATTGGACAAAGTAGCTTTGGACCAACTCATGAATTTTCCAACATCACTTATTTGAATGTTATTCCCAACAAACTTGACATACTTCCAATACTCCGCAATGGAGTGTGTTGACCACACAATCTAAAAAAAAAAAAAAAAAAAAAAACAGAATATCTTAGATATGAAACAAACAATTGGAATATTATCTTATTAAAGAAGATAATACTCACATCTTTTTAAATTCAATGAACTCAGGCAATTTTTCATTGAAGAGTAACTGGGTAGCATCATAAGAACTTTAAATCTTTACTTCTTCAGCTATTAAAAAAAATGCTTTGAATATATGAAAAGAATATAAACACTAAATACATATATATTTTTTTAAAGCTTACAAATAACTTACTGTTGACACAATGCTTGGCTCTACAAAACTGCAAAATAGAGTACTATAACAGGACCATTAATCTTAGATTTGAAAAATGGCCCCATGTGCACATTGTCCACATGGTCGTCGCACACTGTACATTTCAACTACTCCCTCTGTAAAAATTCAAGAGTAAAAATTTTAAAAACAATTAAGTTTACAGTACACTCATAACTATAATCAGATCAACATATTCAAGTAATCTTACTTTGTATCCTTTGTATCCTCTATGACAAAATCAATCAATCCGGAATGCTTGCATCCAATTAGTTTGTCCAGTGGAGAATAAATCTCCACAACCCTACCATTACATTTGTAAAAAAAAAAAAAAAAAAAAAAAAAAGAAGAAATATGTGACACATAACTAAGTACTGTATACAATTATACATAATGTACAAAACCTACCAATTAATTCTTTCTCGTCAACACCTCCTGGTGATTTCAATCTTACTATATATAATAGTCATACGCCTAGGGAACAACAATGGCAAAATCTCCCGCTCAATCAAAAGGAGACGTTTCACAAGGTACAAATACATAGTAGTACTGATGATATATGGAAGGTTGGATACGAAATACATAGTACCACTTATTACACATCTAGGAAGCGGTACACTTTATTTGTCATTTCCAATGCAAAATTCATAGCTACCTGCAAAGTGATCAATTAAATCAAATAATAAAAAAAAAGGTCCTGAACAGCAATAATAAATACAAATATATTGAAACCAAGCACAATACCACTTATTACTCCTCTGTCATTTCCAAAAAAGAAGTGATAGACTGATATATAGCAACCTGCAATATAAATAGCCTCACATAGAATATCACTTATTACTCATCCACATAGAATACTCTCACATAGAATACCAGCACATTAATCCGGAGGTAAGCAAGTTAAGAGATAATGAAGAAGTTAACGAGTTCTACCGTAATTGGCAAAAAAAGGAAACAACAATCACAGGACACAGGTATGTTCACAGTTTCGATTTCTATACGGTTCAAGTATATTATGAGCATGTTTGGTTAGTAAATTTTCAAAACAATTAAAATCCCAAACCTTACACACTAAACCTTACACATTTCTCCAGTTTATACCTGCAAAAAAGACTACTAAATAGCAATAGTGAAGCTTTAGACAAGAACATGCTAAATAACATTCAATCCATACATTAGATACAGATAGCGAATTTCTTAGGTACCTAATACATAGATCTGAAATCCTTATAGCATGACCTAAAACAGATAAAAAAAAATTGAGAAATTTCCAGGCAAATTAGGATTTGCAGATGTTTTCAGTAGTTATATCGCGAACCAAAAATCAAATACTGAGTGACGAACAAAGCTGCATACATAGATCTGAAACCCCAAAGCTATTACGTTTAGAATTTCTCACCGAATGAGGTACAACATCCACTGATAACTTTAGTCAATCGTGTAGAGTCTGAAATTTGAACATGCACTTCACTTTCCAAATTGAACAACAATTAGGGTAGAGCGTGAAATTTCTCATCATCACTGTAATCTTATAGCGATTGGTCAGTAGAGAAGACTGAAAAATTAGAAATTTCAGACAGTAAGAATTAGAACAAGAACACATAGATTTGTAGAAACAGCAATAATACTCAAGATATAGGGATTTCGCGTACTTAGATGGCAGTAGATGAATGCAGAACGATAATGGTTTCGTCTCACCAGGAATGAGATTCCGGCAATGGGAATTACGCTGATGTTCCATCCCATCCTTTATTCCGGCAATGGCAAAAGCTACACATGTAGTGCTGTTGTGATTTAAACAATACGCGTGTCACTGTGGAATACATATATACATTAATATGTATATATATATATATATATATATATATATATATATATATATATATATATGGATATATTAATATATTAATGTATATATGGAAAAGAAAATTTTATTTAATGTAAGTTATATTGGTTATGCATGGTACATTATTGTTGTAACACTGAATGATGTATATTATTCTCTTTGCTTAGGGATCAAAGAAAATTTCACGAAAGAGACAGTTAGTTTACATTGTACTACAACTCAAAATTGTATGTATGGTATATTTCAAGCAAATTATGGTACTCCTATACGCATTGTACATAATAGTAAGTGTCAATTGTTAAATACATTTGTTTTTAATTTTTTAAACATGTCGTAGTTCTAAATACGATTGATTTTTTTTTTTATGCAAGATGGGAGTTTAGTCAAATCGTCAATAAAGAGTGTTAATCAATTGGGTTCATCTTCAAGTAACATGCACTTGCATTGTACTTTGGAAAACATACCAAGTTTTCAAACCCCGGATCATACTATTGGACGTATTGGTTAGTAAAGAATTTATTCTTTTTTTGTAGTACCATTTGTTTTATTTTACGTTTTTTTAATGTTTAATTTATTCATGACTTAACATGCATTTTAATTTTAGTCTAACTTCTAATTGTTCTTTCATGCAGGTAGTGAAAGAAATGTTAAGAAGAGTCATTTCTTGAAAAATGTGCAAATGGACTCAAAATCACATATACCACTCAATTCAACTATTCCCTTGAGTGATGTTACAAATTGTATGTATCGATTTGAAAATACAAACCTCATAACTATACATATGCTAAGACGATATTTTATGGTTTTAAAGGATTGTTAAATAAACACAGGCAACACAAATGGAATATCTGGAACTCCAATACATGCTGGTGTGTCTAGGAAGCATTGATTAGTCGTTCTATCATACATTTCTTTGAGAAAAATCAAATATGTACATAATTTTTGTTTCAAACATCTGTAATTATTATTGTATACTTTTTAATAATTTTCAAACCAATTTTTAAATATTTCTATTAGATCACTAATATATATATATATATATATATATATATATATATATATATATATATATATATATATATATTTCCACATTTTAATACCAGCTGAACAGGTAATAAGGATCTTTAATAAAAAGTCTAAGAGGCCAATTGATTGCGATATGGAAGTTGGTGAACAATCAGCATTCAGTCGTAGAAACCTAACTCTTGATTTTGATGATGCTTCGCAACCAACAGAAATGGAAGAAAATAGTAATAATGGTCCGTGTTAGACTATACTTTTGTATTTGAGTAGTATTCTTTATTAAATTGGTAAGAGCATGCTTATTAAACGTAATAGTATAACTTTGTTTTTTTGTATATTTTATGTAGTACAATATGCAGACTTAGGCGATCCGGAATACAGCTGTGAGCATTGCAATGCCATATTTTGGTACGAAGAAAGGGTTAACAAATCAATAGTTTGCAGGTCACCTAAATATTCAGCATGTTGCGCTCAGGGGAAGATTAAGTTACCGTTAATGATTGCCCCTCCAAAAAAAATGTTAGACCTCCTTTTTGTGATAGGTGAAAAAAGAACAAGTTTCTTGGAACATATTAGAACATATAATAGTATGTTCTGCTTCACTTCGATGGGTGGCAAAGTTGACAAGTCTATAAATTGTGGGAATGCTCCACCAATTTTTAAGATAAATGGTCAAAATTTTCATTTGATCGGAAGTTTATTACCCACGGATGGTAGTCAACCAAAATTTGCACAACTTTACATTCATGACACCCAACACGAGGTCAACAATCGTATCAACACATTCAGGTGTTGTGTCATAAGAAGTTATACATAATTTTTAATAAAGTTTATGTAAAATGTTTAAGTTTTGGTATTTATTTTTTAAAGTACAATGTTTTGAATATTTTGTAGGAATGCGGATGGAAAAAGTAATATTCGTGTTGACGTTGTTGCAGACATAAAAGAAGTATTAGATAAGCATAATGTGTTAGTTAAATCATTTTGGATGGCTAAGGGTGAGATTGAATCTAACCCCCGTGTTGAGGTTAAGATGAGGCTTATTGGTAAAAGGAGTACTGATGCAAGAACTTATAACTTACCAAATGTTTCAGAAGTTGCAGCTTTAATAGTTGGTGACCTTGATCCAACGTTAGGGGAACGTGATATTTTGGTTGAGTCCAAATGCGGAGATTTGAAACGTATAAGTGAATTGAATCCATCATATCTTCCCTTACAATATCCTATTTTGTTTCCATACGGTGAGGATGGTTATCGAGAAGATATACAATTCTCTGTACCAAGCTCAAGTTCTAACGTTGGGCAGAAACGAATATCCCAAAGGGAGTTCTTCGCTTTTCGTATACACGAGAGGCTTAATGAGGTAAACACGTTGTTGTTTTCAAAGCGTCTATTGCAACAGTTTTTAGTTGATGCATACACTATGGTGGAATCCAGTAGACTCACATTCATCAGGCAAAATCAAAAGTCTTTGAGGTGTGAAGCGTACAAAGGTTTGTCAGATGCATTAACACGGGGTGAAGTTGATCCTACCACTCAAGGTAAACGAATAGTCTTACCATCAAGTTTTACAGGAGGGGCTAGATACATGATACCGAATTATCAAGATGCCATGGCTATTTGTCGTTGGAATGGATACCCGAATTTGTTTATTACATTTACATGTAATCCAAAGTGGCCAGAGATCCGACGTTACATACATAAACGGGGTTTGAAAGCTGAGGACAGACCAGACATAGTGTGCCGGATTTTTAAATTGAAACTGGATTCGCTAATTAGAGAAATCAGGGTTGGTCAAGTATTTGGAGAGGTCAGTTCAGGTTAGTGATTACTACTTTGTACTTTCTCTAAATTTTATATATATATTTTTTCAATTAGATGATGTGTACTAAGTTGGTATCTTAATTTCCACAGTTATATACACAATTGAATTTCAGAAGAGAGGTTTGCCTCATGCGCATATACTTCTCTTTCTGTCAAGGCAGAGTGCAATGTTATCCACGACATGCATGGATAATATTATATCAGCAGAGATCCCCGACAAAGATGGAGACATCCAATATTACAATGCGGTCGAGGAATTCATGATTCATGGCCCATGTGGTGTAGTAAATAAAAAGTCTCCATGCATGATCAACGGAAAATGTTCAAAGCATTTCCCCAAGAAATTTGTAGAAGCTTATACTTTAGATGATAATGGGTACCCAAAGTATAGGAGACGTGATGATGGTAGAACAGTGTTGAAAAGTGGTACACAGTTGGATAATCGATATGTTGTGCCTCATAATAAATACCTTCTTCTTAAATATAATGCACACATCAATGTTGAGTGGTGTAATCAATCAAGGTCTATCAAGTACCTTTTCAAGTATGTGAATAAGGGAAATGATAGGGTGACTGATGAGTTCTATAAGAGTACAGTTGATGAAAATTCTGCAGAAGTGATAGATGAGATAAGAATGTATTATGATTGTCGTTACGTGTCTGCTTGCGAGGCGACATGGCGACTGTTTAGTAATGACGTGCAATTTAGGATGCCTTCGGTGGAGAGATTGAGTTTTCATCTACCCGACTGCCAATCTGTGATTTTCGATGATGACGACAGTATTGAACATGTGCTAAGTCGTCCTACGGTAGCCCAAAGTATGTTTACTGCTTGGTTTGAAGCAAACAAGAAATACCCAGCTGCAAGACTTTTGACTTACATTGATATGCCAACTAAGTTTGTTTGGAAAAATACAGTCCGAGAATGGCATCCTAGGAAGAGGAGATTCTCGATTGGTCGTATATTTTATGTTCCGCCAGGAAGTGGCGAAATATATTACTTAAGGTGTCTTTTGAACATAGTACGTGGTCCTACCAGTTTCGAAGACATCAAGACCTTCAATGGTGTAACACACTTGACATTCAAAGATGCATGTTATGCTCGAGGGTTGCTAGATGATGATAAGGAGTATATTGATGCAATCAACGAGGCAAGTCAATGGTCTTCTGGTCATGCAATGAGAAAACTTTTTGTTATATTACTAACATCAAATTCAATGGTAAGACCTGAATTTGTTTGGAATGCTACATGGCAGTACCTTTCAGAAGATGCAGAATACTACCATAGACGAATAGCAAAATATCAATGTTTATTATAAATTTAGTGAAACTCTATTATTATTTTGCTAGCCATTTAGAATTAGTTTTCTTACATTGTTTTCAAATTTTTCAGATTTGATTTTGTCAGAGGAATCAAAGAAAAATTTTGGGTTGATGGAGATTGAGAAATTGTTACAAGTCTATAATAAGTCTTTGAAAGACTTTGCACCAATGCCATTACCAAACCTAGCTGATGTATCATTGCTAAGTAATAGGTTATTGTTGGAGGAACTTTCTTATGATCGTGAAGCCATGGCTAAAGAGAGTGAGATGTTAACTTCACAACTAACTGATGAACAACGTGTTGCATATGACACAATTTTGGGAGACGTGCAATGCAGTAATGGTGGTTTGTTCTTTGTATATGGTTATGGTGGCACTGGAAAAACATTTCTTTGGAAGGCTTTATCATCAAAGTTGCGGTCTAAAGGTGACATTGTGATTAATGTAGCTTCAAGTGGAATCGCTTCTTTGCTGCTACCAGGTGGGCGTACCGCGCATTCTAGGTTCTCCATACCCATAATAGTGAACGAAGATTCAACATGTAACATAAAGCAGGGTAGTCACTTAGCTGAATTGGTTATCAAGACAAATTTAATTATATGGGATGAAGCTCCAATGATGCATAAACATTGTTTTGAAGCTCTTGATAGGACGATAAGAGACCTCCTTAGATTCAATAATCCTTTAAGTGCTGACAAAACGTTTGGTGGGAAAACAGTCGTATTTGGTGGTGACTTTAGGCAAATATTGCCTGTGATTCCTAAAGGCACAAGACAAGATATTGTTGCCGCAACTATCAATTCTTCGTATTTGTGGAATAATTGTAAAGTTTTGCGGTTGACAAAGAACCTCCGTCTAAATAGAATAGAACATGATGTGCATCAGTCTGAAGTTGAGGAGTTTGCTAATTGGATTGCATCTATTGGTGATGGAACAATTGGGGGTCCAAACGATGGTTACGCAGAGGTTGTTATTCCAAATGATTTGTTACTGCCATGTATTGGTGACCCGATTCAGACAATTGTTGATAGCATTTTCCCGGATTTTATGAATGCTAGGTGTGACCCCAACTATATGCAAAGTCGTGCGATTCTAGCACCAACTTTAGAGGTTGTGAACTCAATAAATGAGTATATGAGTGACTTGCATACAGCTGAGAGTAAAACATATTTCAGTTGTGACACTGTGTGTAAAGCAGATTCAGACAACGGTATACTTAGAGATGTGCACACTCCAGAATTTCTTAATGGGTTGCGATGTTCGGGGATTCCAAATCATGCATTAACATTGAAAGTTGGATCACCTGTAATGTTGTTGCGAAATATAGATCACTCTTTGGGCTTATGCAATGGTACAAGGTTGGTCATCACAAGATTGTCCGAGCATGTGATTGAAGCCAAAATAATGACGGGTGACAATGCTGGGAGTTCGGTTTTGGTACCTAGAATGTCTATGACTCCATCAGAAACAAGATTGCCTTTCAAATTCCAACGAAAACAATTTCCATTGATGTTGTCATATGCAATGACAATAAATAAAAGTCAAGGTCAAAGACTCTCTCATGTTGGGTTGCTACTAAAGAAACCAGTGTTTGTACATGGCCAATTGTATGTTGCTGCGTCTAGGGTTAGCAATCCTATGGGTTTAAAAATTCTAATTTGTAATGATCTTAATAATAGTTGTACTTCTACCACTAATGTCGTTTATCACGGAGTTTTTAACAATTTGTAAATATAATTATAATTTTCGGACTTATTACTATTATTATGTCATGTATATTTTATTATTATCATATATACAATCCATTTTGTTTATTACAATAACACTGTAATTTAAAATTTTATTTGTAGACCGTGCATCGCACGGGTACAATACTAGTTTAGAAAATGACCTTAATCGATACATGTGCACGAGAAAGTTTGGACCCGTTTACTAACTGTAAATTTTCTCCTGTTTTCTGGAAAACTGGAGAATTTAAGAACAGAACACAGAAAACATGTTTACTAACACGGTTTTTCATTTTGAAAACAGGAAACAATTTTTCAATTTTCTAGAAAATTAGAAAACTATTAAAAACTGTTTTCTAAATGGAAAACAGAATCATCTATAATCTATTTGGCTATATGTCACTATAACCACATTTTCACCATTATCTATTTACGTATTTATTCATTACTATGGTTATATTCATTATCATCTTCTTTTATTTATCACCATCTTTTATTTTTTCTACTTCCATTACTTATTTAAACATAACTTAATTACTTACACTTAAAGTTAGTCATTATTCACATTATCAAAATTAAAAATTAAACATATGTAAGTCTATACAAAGTTTTAGATTTTAATTGAAATCAATTGATTAATGGTTTAGATATTCTTAATTATGTTATATCGTAATACAAGTTTGGTCCGGATATCAAATATTGAAATTTCACATATATTAGAATTCAAAGTAAAAATTATATATCTATATACATGTCTTTCAAATGAATATATCAAAAAAAAATATTTTAAAATATTAGCTCAAAAAGTATTAATATTATCTAAATTAAATTTTATGTGAACTTAATAGGTTATTGGTTCAGGTATATTTTTAGTTATATTATGTATAGATATAAATTTGATTCGGATATGAAATGTAAAAATCTTACATATTTAGAGTTAATTCCTAAAATGGTCCTTCGACTATGAACTTTTCTCAAATTGGTTTCTTGACTTTTAATTGCACTCAAAGTGATTCTCTGACTATTGATTTTTAAGCCAAAATGGTCATCTTTTAGTTTTGGTGTTAAATGAGTGTTAAAATGAAGGGTAAAATTGGTCATTCAGGTTTTGCACTTCAAATTTAAAGCAATTTGTCACCCTCACTTGTCTGTTGCTGGTATAAAATGTGGAGTAATCAAATTAGGATATATGGAGATGCAAAAGCTTCAACAAAAGTAAGTTTTTTTTTTTTTTTTTTTTTTTTTTTTCAACTTTGGATGGGTAACTTGTTTTTGCGGTTTTAGGATATTCTTTTAATTTATCTTTTTCAAAATGATCAAAATCCCATTTCACCAGTTGTAATGTTCTATGCCAAATATTGCAATTACTTTCTGCTTCAAAAACATATCGTAAATGATGTTCTTCAACACCATCAATATTAATTAAGACAAAATGAGCACTTTGAAGTTTGAAATAAGAAATCAATGGTAATATTACTGTTCGTCCTCTTCATCATTCTCAGCTATGTTGAAGTACCTCAATTCGTAGACACTTCTATCCTTGTTCGAAGATATAACACGCAGCCAATCACGACACATTGTTCTTCTTTAGATACTTCTTTGTCAAGTATTTCAAAAACCTCTTGTAAAAGTTGGAGTCTGCCGTGACGGTGATTTTGGCGGAGGGAGTATTATTTTTTTTATGTAATGAATCATATATTAATTAATACTAGTACAATATCACGCATCACACAATTGGATAAACACCCAATAAGACAAAGAATTAATAAAATTATAAATAAAAGAAATAAAAAAATAATTAGTACATCATCAACAACAAAATCTGAATTACTAGTTTTACTCTTCATTTTAACACTCACTTAACACCAAAACTAACGGATGACTATTTTGGCTTAAAATTCAATAGTCAGAGGACCACTTTGGGTGCAATTAAAAGTCAAAGAACCAATTTGAGAAAAAAGTCATAATCCTCTATTTTAAATATAAGGTCTAAAAATTACTCAAAATTAAACTTGGTTTAATTTTATAACGTCAATCTTAAAAAAAATTGAAAAAATAAGTTTTAGTAAACAAGTTTTCTAAACAAAAAACAGAGAATGAAAACTGAAAAATTAGAAAAAAGAAAACAGAAAACAGAAAACAGTTTCTGTTAGTAAACGAGCCCTATATGTTTTTGTACTCTTTAACTACAGTTGCATAATTAAATTTTATCATAAATCTATTATTGCTAGTATTATATGTATATAAGTTGGTGATAACTAAGAAATTCTTAATACAATAAACTTTTCCTTCCTTGAATCTAGACTGAAATTAGACATATGCTCCCTGAGAATATGAGCATGAATAAAGCTTCCATGTAATAAAGAAAAATGAGAGGAAATTTTGATAAACAATTTCAACTCTAACTTTTGCATATAGGTATATCTTTACACGAATTAACACAAATAAAAAATAAATAAATCATATTCACGATTACCTCTTGATCATGGAATACGCATTCTTTACATTTGATAGTTTCGCTGTCTCTCCTTTCTGGTATTTCATATGTACAAACACATCTAACTCTTATAGCAATGTTAGTTTTTAGAGGATAGATTTCACGGCACGGAATATATAGAGAGGCCATGATGATGGGGCTTTGAAGTTGTACTGTATTTGTAAATAATATATATCGTTTCCCGTCTCTATATTTGCTATGAACTGCACATTTTGTATACCTATAAAGGAAGTATTTATAGAATAGGTAATTAATTATAATCTCTTGGATACCAAAGAGTATGAATGAATGTGATAAATATACAACTCTCAAATAACCAAAGGTTGTATATGAAAATTCAAAAAGTCGTCATAGAATATTAAATCTGGTGCGATCCGTTGCATTTCTTAAAAAATCCTAAATAGGGCAAATTCCTACTATTGTTATACTAGACCTAAACGACTACGTTTTAATTGAACGGGAAGAATTTTAACAATTATATTTTTCAAAAATTGTGACTTTATTATAGTAGAGGAGTAGAGGATTAAAAATGTATTTTTTATTGATGATCCATGGAGCTATGTAGACCATGGTCCACATAAAAATTTGGCCAATCATGGTCTAGCCCATCCCCATAGGCCACTGGGCCCAGCGTTGATTCACGCTTGCCAAGCTCAACAAATCTCATGGGCTGGCCAATTTGGTCAGCCCATAACCATTGACTTGCGGGCCTGGCGGCCAAAATCCATTAATTTGTGAAACCCTAGCCTTTATTATAGCGGCGAAGGTCACCTTCTTCTCCTTTCTCTCACCCTCTCTCAGCTCCGATTCAGGTTCACTCTTCCTCTAAGTCTCTCTTGTATTCCTTTCCATCCACTTCTGTTCGTTTACAGGTGTTCATTTGTGTTTGCTTATGAATCCTAACACTTTATGCTTTTGTTGGATTATGCAGATATTTTGAAGGGAAAGAAAAATCTTTCGCCATGAGGTGAGTTCTGTAAATTAACTTGTGTGAACTTTATTTCTCTGATCGATTTGTGTTTGCTGCTCATTTGTAGAGTCGGTTTTGATTGTATAATGTTTATATGTGATAAAGTTCACTCTCTAAGTATGTATGTATATATATATATATATATATATATATATATATATATATATATATATATATATATATATATCAATTTTGATGTGTTATGCTTATCGTTTTAATTTTGTCTGATTAAGGGGTGTTATTCTTGGTATTATGGCTATTATATTTATGATGATGAAATGTTGCTTTGTTTTCGTGTATTTGGCATTTTTATTGGTTGGAGTATTCATCTCTGCTGCACACAAAAAAAAAAAAAAAAAAAAACAGTTTTACCTGGTTTTGTTAGGTTGATTGTACTTGAACATTATGCTATTGTCTGCTTGGTTTTGTGATGTTTGTTTTTATTTTACTTATCAGCAAGTTGCAAAGTGATGCCGTGAGGGAAGCAATCTCCCAATTAATGGGGGATTCTAAGGAGAAGAACCGCAAGTTCACTGAGACCATTGAGCTTCAAATTGGGCTGAAGAACTATGATCCCCAGAAGGACAAGCGTTTCAGTGGTTCAGTCAAATTGCCTCACATTCCACGCCCTAAGATGAAAGTATGCATGCTTGGTGATGCTCAGCATGTGGAGGAGGTATTTTCCAGCACACTTTATGCTTTATTTCAATACTTGGTTTTGGTTTTTGGGTATTAGTACTTCTGTTGGTACTTATAACAAAAAAAATTGAATTTTTGGTATTATGGTTGTTACTTGTCTGTTATGTCATAGCTGTATTAGTGTATGCATACTCTGTTGGGGATAAACTGTTTTGAATTGGTGTTGCTGTTCCATTTTCCTCTGTAATATGTTCTTTTGTGTTATGCTGTTACCTTTAATGACCAACTATTCCTCATCCTGGTTCATATTCAAATTATATCCTGCAGGCTGAAAAAATTGGCATGGAGTATATGGATGTTGAGGGGTTAAAGAAGCTCAACAAAAACAAGAAGCTGGTGAAGAAGCTTGCAAAGAAGTACCATGCTTTCTTGGCATCTGAAGCTGTAATTAAACAGATCCCTCGTCTCTTGGGCCCTGGTCTTAACAAGGCAGGCATGTACAAAAAGCATCCTTTAATATCTTATTTAACTATTCTCTTTTTGGAATAGTCTCTCGAGTGGATAGCAAAATATTTGTTCATGACTGCCCTTTTAAGGATTTCTGAAATTACTGAAGCATCTCTGATCTTCCTATTGATATCAGGCAAGTTCCCAACCTTGGTGACACATCAGGAGTCCTTGGAGACGAAGGTTAATGAAACAAAGGCTACTGTAAAATTTCAGCTTAAGAAGGTCCTCTGTATGGGTGTTGCTGTTGGTAATGTTGCCATGGAGGAAAAGCAGATCTTCCAGAATGTTCAAATGAGCGTGAACTTTCTGGTATCATTGCTGAAAAAGAACTGGCAGAATGTAAGTTTACTTAGTCTGCTCAACCAACGGTCATTTTCATATCTGCACCTGGCTCCTTATGGTTAGTTATTAACATATGTTTGAAATATGTTAAACAGGTGAGGTGCCTATATCTCAAGACAACAATGGGAAGGCCTATTCGGGTCTTTTAACTTGGAATTGTGTCTTTTGTATTCTTTATTTAAGCTCTATAGGTAGACATTGCACAATCAGTCTTGTACTCTGCCATTGTCTAGAACCATTTTTGTTTCGATGTCCTCGTGGATTTCCCTGTTATTGTTCAAGGCTTATCACTGGGTATTTGGATTTGTTGAGATTTTTGATATCAGTCTCTCTTTGATTTCATTTTTGAAGAGTGTAGGACGAGTGGATTAGATACCATTTTACTACAACATACTTAATCCTGCACACTTTTATCTAATCCTTGTTTGCGTACTGTAGTAATGTCTTGAGAATATTTTTTGTTGAATTAAATTTTTGCTGAAATTGAGATTTTATATATTTGATCTTTTATCTTTTATTATGTCCTGTTTTATAACATAGCTTATTAGTCAATTTTGATTTGTTTGACTACTATTAGATGTTTGACTTTGTTAATTAGTTTGAGTGTTGGTTAATCATATACTTATTTTGATTACGAATCAATGGTTAACCAGAATTTTTTAAATAATTTAATTTTTAAATATAATTAATTATTTGAATTTTAAATTTAAATGAAAGATTGAAATATAAACTAAATAAATATGTTAAATTTTATATTTTAAAATTTCTATGTAAGTGTTGATTATAAAAGTATCACAATTTATTGAAAAAGAAAAAAAAGTGTGCTTAGTTTTATCAAGATTAAGTTGTCTATATAATGTTCACACATAACATAAATAAATTATTAGCTGCACATGTATTGTAAAGTAGATTGTAGCAATTTAAAAGTAGAATTTCAATGTGTAAAAACATCTTGTGAAAACGTTTTGGTCGTTCGGTGGGTTCAAGCGCTAGTCAAAGATCTGAAGTCTTGCGCCAGGCATAGCACCATCATTAAAGCCAGTTCCGTTTGGGTGAAATGGAACCCCCCGGTTGATGGCGCCTTCAAGTTAAATACCGACAGAGCTGCTAAGAGCGCTTCAGGGCTAGCTTCAGCCGGCGGGTTGGTCCGAAACAGTGCCGGCGAGTGGCGGGTTGGTCCGAAACAGTGCCGGCGAGTGGATTTGGGGCTTTATAGCGAAGATTGGAAAAATGAATAGTTTCATGTCAGAGTTATGAGACCTAAAGGAAGGTCTACGACTATGCCTTGAAAAAGGGATTAATCGGGTTTGGGTGGGATTATACGCAAATGGTAACGATGGGAGAGAATCATACTGCCTGCTCGTGGACGACTGCTTCTTCTTGGTTGATAAGTTTGATTGGATACCTTTCACACACTTTTAGGGAAGGAAATCAATGCGCAGATTTTTTGATAAATCTTGCGCAAAACAAGAATTGGGGGACATGGGTCCTCAACGATGTACTTGAGGGTCTGGCGTCTCCTCTTCGACAGGATGTCGAGAATGCTTGCACCCAGAATTAGATAATTTTGAGGCTTAGCCTCTCTTTATTCAAAAAAAAAAAAAAAAAAAAAATTTAACTTTGCAGTATCTTGGCCATGCTTTTGTAAGATTGTCATGTTGACATTACATTAAAAAAAAAAAAAAAAAAAATTGACATATTTTTTTTAGTACATGGGAGGGGAGCGCCTCAACATGGAAGCACTAATCTATAATGACACGTTTGGTTTGCGGAATAGGTCTGAAATAGCAAACATTCCTATTCATTTGTTTGGTAAAAATTTTTATTCCCAAAACAATATTACTGGGGATGACATATTCCCCTGCAGGGGGAAGGACTATTACTAGAGGCCCCCCCGGTATTAACCTATTCCTGAGTTCACAGGAATAGATTTTATATTTTATTTCGGATTTTATCCTTCCTCTCTTTCTCTCGGCACCACCACTGCGTTGGTCGGAGTCTCCAAATCATGTAATGCCCCAGCATTAAGTTTGAGACTACCCGACGCCATTACTGGATCACCCGCAAGCCTCCGCCACCAGCAACCTCCACCGACGACGGAGACTCCACCACCGGTGTCCCCCACAATCAGGGACGGAGCCAAAGGGGGGCAGGGGGTCAGGTGCCCCCCTCACCCCACCCCACCCCATATATAATTTTTGTATGTATATATGTATATATAGTATATGTGTTAGTATTAATAAAATAAAACTATTAAATGTAAATAAGAGTTGATTTAGATGAGTTGGTTGAGCACATGTTGAGTCCTAATATAGAATAAGGGTTTGAATCTTGGAATTGACATATTTGTTTTATAGTTGGCTTCAACAGTTTTTTTTGACTCATTCCCTATGGTAAATTTCTGAATCCTTCCCTACTTCTTCGCCCCCCTCAACCGAATTTCTGGCTCCGTCCCTGCCCACAACCGAATTTCTGGCTCCGTCCCTGCCCACAATGCCGTTTTCCATACCGACAGAAAGGCCAGCAAGGCCACAAGCAAGACCGGAAAGGTGAGCATAGCCATTAAACAGTTTTTTTTTACTCATTCCCTATGGTAAATTTCTGAACCCTTTCCTACTTCTTCGCCCCTCTCAATCGAATTTCTGGCTCCGTCCCTGCCCACAATACCGTTTTCCATACCGACAGAAAGACCAGCAAGGCCACAAGCAAGACCAGAGGAAAGGTGAGCATAGCCATTAAAGAGATAGTACGATTTGGTCTTGGAATTGATCCCGGTACTGATGATCATAGCGATAATCAATCCGTAAATTGCTTCACCTATAATAGTTAAGGGACCAAAATGATATTTTCTCAAAAATTAAATTACAAGATGGACCGGGTCCACATAATAATTTTGTCCAATTCCCCTTCCTGGAGAAGCTCGAAACAAGCCTCTGAATCAGTTTCCATAGCCACCCTTCTATAAACGTCTCGCAAAAATCGATCACCAAATTAAGGTGTACACAATTGTTTAAGAGCAGGAACAACAACAGCAAAGATGCAAAACCCTAGTCGCGGAGATGCGGAAAATTTTCGTATTCGAAGACTGGAGATCGCAGACAAAGGCAAGGGCTTTCTCGAACTGTTAAGTCAATTGACTGTGTGTGGTGCTGTGTCGGACGAAGAATTCACGGAGAGGTTTGAAGAAGTGGCCAAATACGGGGATGAGCATATGATATGCGTGATCGAAGATGTCCGATTGGGGAAAATTGTTGCGAGTGGGAGTGTTTTTGTGGAGAGGAAGTTCATCAGGAAGTGTGGGAAAGCTGGTCACATTGAGGATGTGGTTGTTGATTCCAGCGTCCGTGGATTGCAATTGGGGAAGAGGGTTGTTGAGTACTTGGTGAATCATGCCTGTTCAGTGGGGTGTTACAAGGTGATTCTTGACTGCAGTGAGGACAACAAGCCATTCTATGAGAAATGTGGGTTCATGAAAAAGGAGGTTCAGATGGTGAAGTACTTCGTTTGATTCATTCATTTATTTTGGGTGACGAGGGAACTCGCATTCACTATCTGAGGGAGGGTGTGCATTAGTGTATATTCAGTAAACCCGTCTTGTGACCCTAGTCGGCAAAAGACAACAAGGATGTATAGCTGACGGGCTCAAATCAAGAATATGACCTTGGTTACAAGTTTTGTTTTTTTCTTGTTAGCCTTCTTGGCTGGGTTATCCCCAACTTCGTTTGATTTATTGTTTCTTACACAAAATGGTAGTTGAACTCAAAGTTTTGCACTTATTGCCATGGTTTTGTAGTCCTTCATATTCATCAACCCCATCAAAAGAAACATCATAAGTGCATGTAGTAGTATTATCTGTTTCTTGCTAACCTGTCAAATGGATTAAAGGCTGTAATGTTTCTTGCAAACTTGTGCTTCATTTGATTCATCCACTTGTTTGCCCATTGTTTCAAGTAGAAAATCATAGTTGAACTCATTGATGTGGTTTTGTATTCATATTCATCTGCTCTATCAAATGAAGCATAATGTATGCCAACTGAGTGTCGATTTAAGTGCATCTAGAGTAGCATTATCTGTTTCTTGCTAACATGTCAAATGGATTAAAGGCTGTGCAAGTTTCTTGCAAACTTGTGATTCATCCACTTGTTTGCGCATTGTTTCTCGTGGAAAATTATAATTGAACTCAAAGTTTTGTACTTGTTGACGTGGTTTTGTAGTCCTTCATATTCGTCTGCTCCATCAACTGAGTGTAGATTTAAGTGCTTCTAGAGTAGCATTATCTGTTTCTTGCTAACTTGTCAAAGGGGATTAAAGGCTATCAAGTTTCTTGCAAACTTGTGCTTCAATTTGGAACCCATTTTGGTCAAGAGAGTTGCATTGCTGTTCTGCACTATTGCAGGATCTGTAACTTATCAGATGTATGCAATGTAACAGTTGAAAACTTGAAATGCTGCTACCCAGTTGGTTATGGTGTTATCATGATGCTATTTTGCTCTTATGACATCCATCAATCGATGAATGTAATAATTGCTTAAGAGTTGATGTTTTTCTATAGGCCAAGGGATTATTACCAGTACTAGATGTGTTTCTATTCTCTTCAATTATACAAAAATGTACTCAAGAAACCTGTCTTAAAATGAAGCAGTGTTTTACCCATTTCATTAACCATATAATATAATAATTTATGGGAAGGGCTATGGTTCTAATTGGCACTGTGTCTTTGGTATCCAATGCAAAGTTTTACAACTCTAGAAAGACATTGAGTTTATACATGAGTATAAGAATTACCAATATGAATTGACACTTAAGAACCAAGAATGGTTGGTTGGTTGGTTCAACCCATTAGCATATTCGAGATAACCGACTTATTAAAATCTACCATTGTGCCTTCAAACTTGACCAAAAAAAATCAAATAAACACTCGAACTCGTAAAGAAAAAAAAAACAAAAAAAAAAAAAAGAAGAAGAAAAGATTGAAGCATGTGCTCCATCTCAACTAAAAGCCTAAGCTGATAGTTGGATACACATTAATGGATATATGCTCACAGAAGAAGAAGAAGGGGGGGGGGGGGGGGGGGGTATATTGGCTTATTCTGACCTTTTGTTCCCAATAATCATTACATAAATTCCATGTAATATGGCACATAATCATGTTGTACATATCAAATGTCACATTTTGTTATATTCTTACTTTTTTTTTTTTAATAAATTTTCCTTCTGGAAATCATGACACCACAACTTTTTCCTGATCCAAACTTAAATCCTTCGTCTAGATGAAGTCGAAGCTAGCTTTGAGATGAAGGCAACACTTTTCATCTTTGTTTATTTGTCCCTATAAATATCTTTTGTCCAAATCTATATAAACGACAAGTAAAAGTAAGCAAGTTAGTGTTGGCAGATGATTCTAGTTAGAGTTTAACAAATATATATATATATATATATATATATATATATATATATATATATATATATATATATATATATATATTATTGAGGCTCGAACCCACAACCTCCCATATGGTAAATCTAAAATCCAATAAAACATAAATTATAATTTGTTAATGCATAAGACAAATATTCTCTCCCTTCTAGGGTTTTTTTGCTATTCTCTCTCCCTTCTAGGGTTTCCCCTCTTTCGACGCAACGCTTTGTTCCGGCGACAGTAGCAGGACCTGTTGTTCCGACAGAACCATGGCAACGACGGCAGCGCAGCACGGTGATGAGGGTGTAGAACAATTGTCTGATCGTTGGGCGGATATCACGCTCGAGGCCGAGGAAATTGGTGTGGAGGCGGATGGACCGTATTTGCCGCCGGACGGGAATGACTTGCAGGTGTTCTCTGTTGTGGGGCGTTTTCTAACGTCAAAGATGATCAGGGTAGAGTATATGAGACAGGTAATGGCATCCGTATGGCAGCCGGTGATGGGGATGCGAGTAACTGAGATGCATGCTAATTTGTTTCTGTTTGCGTTTTATCATGAAACTGATATGAAACGTGTATTGGAGGATGGACCATGGTCGTTTGACAATCATACACTGGTATGCCGACAGGTTTGTGATGGTTACCTCCCAGGGGAAGTCAAGTTAGATACACTTGATATGTGGATTCAGGTATACGATTTGCCTATGGGATATACTTCGAATCACATTCTGGAGCAGGTTGGAAACTTTGTTGGAACTTTTATCAAGTGTGATGAGCGCAAGGTGGGGGGACCATTGAAAAAATTCTATCGCGTGCGTGTGGCGGTCCCGGTAGACAAACCCCTCAAACGGCGGATGAAATTGGTACGCAGGGATAAGTCGTGGAGCTGGGTAAATCTTAAATATGAACGGCTCCACAATTTCTGTTATTGTTGTGGTATGCTAGGGCATCTGGTTAAATTTTGCAGAACAGCTCGTCTATCAGGAATTCAGCCTGAGTTTTACCCATATGGTGCATGGATGAGGGCAGGGCAGTCCAAGGGCCCACGGCCGATTGGAGTGGCATGGTTGTTACCGCCTGAAGACAAGCCGACAAGGTCGAATGTGAAACAGACTTGTGGAGGGGATATGGCGGTGGTGGCGGACCGTGGGGTGGGGAGAGTGTCTGATGATGTTGTTATGTCTCAAACGGATGATGAATTGGAGGAGGGTGTACTAGCTTCTTCCAAGCGTCACCGTGCAGCCGAGGATGGGGATGGTAGTGAGGTGGCACCGAATAATGGGGAAGCAACTGACAATGATGTGTCAAAAAACTTGTTTGTGGCTGGTCTTGGTTCTCAGACCCGCCAGATCCAATGAGTACTCTAAGTTGGAACTGTCGTGGATTGGGCGACCCACGTACAGTTCGCGAGATAGTGGACACGGCGTCCCGCAACAGGCCTGATTTTATTTACCTCATGGAAACAAAGGTGGATCAAAGTCATGCAGAGCGTATTCGTGTTACACTAGGGTTTGATGGATTGTTCTATGTTGATCCAGATGGTCTAAGTGGTGGTTTAACTTTATTATGGAGGAAGAATAACACGACAAGACTTATCAAATATTCAAAGAATCATATTGATGTGGAAGTGAATATGATGGGTTTCCCTAAGTGGAGGATGAAATGTTATTATGGCTATCCACAACGGCATAGGCACACTGAAGCGTGAGATTTCATTAAATCATTGGCACACCAGTCTGATCTGCCATGGGTTATGATTGGGGATTTTAATGAACTCTTATTCCAATATGAGAAGAGAGGTGGAAATCCACACCCGGATAGACTGCTACAGGGATTTGGGGAGACTATTGAGTATTATGGCTTATCTCAGTTGCCAATGAGTGGGTACCAGTTTACCTGGGAAAAGGGAAAGGGCACATCTCGGTGGATTGAGGAAAAATTGGACAAAGTATTAGCTACCGATGCGTGGCGTGATATTGTCACTAGAGCTAGGGTGACTAATATCCTATTGAGAAGGTCTGATCATTCTGCCCTCTTTATGGGAATACACGACCCTATGGGGAGGGGGAGAGTACAGAGAAGGTTCCGCTTTGAAATGGCCTGGCTGCATGACGAGGGGTGCAGAACTGTGGTAGAGGAGTCTTGGAGAGAAGGGAGGAACGGTGGTTTGCAGGAGTGTATTGTGCATTGTGGTAACCGGTTAGCTCGCTGGGGGGGGGGGGGGGGGGTGTGATCGGTATCATAAGTTTGGTGAGCGAATAGAGCAGCTTCGTAAGGAACAGTTATATCTGAAGGGGCGCACGGACCCAGTATCATTAGCTGAGTTCCGCCGCCTGGAGGAGGCTCTATGCCGAGTTGAGGCCCAAGAAGATGCATACTGGAAACAGAGAGCCAAACAGCACTGGTTAAAGGGTGTCGACGCCAATACGAAATTCTATCACAGGTACGCCTCTAATCGCAAAAGGAAAAATAATTTATCTAAAGTTATGAATGATGATGGGGACTGGGTGGAAGGTGTTGATATGAGAAAGATTGTCCAGGATTATTTTGCAAATATCTTCTGTACTAGTAATCATGCTAATGGTACTGAGTTATTTGAAAAGGTTATGCCCAAAGTTACACCTTTACAGAACGAATTACTTCTGCAACCTTTTAATGTGGATGAGGTTAGGGAGGCTCTTTTTGCAATGTTTCCAGATAAAGCACCAGGACCGGATGGAATTAATCCAGGATTTTACCAGCATTTTTGGGATGTGGTAGGTGTGGATCTTTCGAAATTTATTGTTGATTGTCTGAATACCCGAAATTTCCCTGCTACATTGAATGAAACGAATGTTGTATTAATCCCAAAGAAATGTACGCCTGAGCGGGTCACTGATTTGAGACCAATAGCCCTGAGTAACGTGGTTTATAGAATAATGGCTAAAATGATCCCAAAGGATGAAGCCTCTGATGGAAAGTGTTATATCTGAGTCACAGAGTGCGTTTATACCTGATAGGCTCATCACTGATAATATCTTGATAGCAGCAGATGTTGGTCATTATCTGAATAGGAAGCAGTGTGGGGTGGTAGGATGGGGAGCTCTCAAGTTGGATATGGCAAAGGCCTATGATCGTATGGAGTGGCCTTTCTTACAATGAATGTTAAAGGCCTTGGGCTTTGATGAGAGATGGATAGAGCTTATAATGTTATGTGTGACTACTGTGTCATACAGGATCTTGGTAAATGGTTCCCCCAGTGAATCGATCATACCTACCCGGGGACTCAGGCAAGGGGATCCATTATCTCCCTATCTATTTACTATATGTGCGGAAGGGCTATCTGTTTTGTTACAATAGGCACAAGATAATGGTTTAATACATGGCTGCAGAGTTGCGCGTGGCGCACCCCCAATTTCTCATTTATTTTTTGCTGATGATAGCCTGTTATTTTTCAAGGCAAACCCACAAGAGGCTACCTAGGTGAAGAATTGTTTGGCAACTTAT